CTTCCTTGGGTTTTGGGTTTTTTTGTTTTTTTTTTTTTTGGGGGGGGGGGGGGGTTGGGGTTTTTTTTGTGTGTGTGTTACCAAGGGTGGGTTGGAGTAGGACTGTCACATCAGGCAGGGCTCGGCTGCTCCTCATCCTCTCCCATCAAGGTTTGCAGGGCTGCAAACTGTAGCAGTTGCAGGTACCTCCTTGCAGGAAAAAGCAGGAAAAAACTGGCAGGGAGTGGAAACAAGTGGCAAGCAGATTAGAAACCCAGCTCCTATTTATAGACCGGCAGTCAAGAAACTGCCCCTGTGACAGGGCCATCGGTTTAACCCTTCTGGGCCCAAGCACCAACCCACCCAGGGACGCTGAGCCCACCCAGCCTGTGCCATGAGGGAGCATTTTGGCACACGGGAAGCAGGATCCTGCACCAGGGCACCTGTGGAGGGGGCAGAAGACAGGTCCAGGCACAGTGGAGCTTACAGGGGTAATTCCTCAGCGAGGCAGTGAGGAGAGAGGTGGGGTTATGGTTGTTAAGAAGTTGGGTCACCAGGACAAGGAAAAGAATATCCCAAGTATCCTGCTGCATGGTAGACAGAGAGAGACAAAAATATTTCCTCTAAGAGAGAGGTAACGAACATGTTTTAGGGGCAGCTGCAATGTTTCCAGCCTCTTTTGTCTCCCCTGGGCTTTGGTAAATTTGCATGCGATCCCTTTGAGGGCCACTGCCTGCCCCTTGCCCAGGAGTGGTTGCTGATGCTCACGCAGGGCTGCTGCATCCCACAGGAGTGCACTGCGACCCCTGCTCGCTGCTGCTCCTCACCATGGGCTCCCCAGAGCTCAAACCCTTCACCAGCCCCTGCTGCATTTGCAGTGGTTTGATGAATGTATGCTGAAGCTCCCTCTTGGCTGTTTCTGTACCTGCTGTCACTTATGGGTGTCTTTATGCCATACACGGTTGTTTTATACACTGCCATGGCAAGACTTTCCAGCTGTTGCCTCAGTTGCTTGTGTCAATAGCTATTTTTACAAGATTGCCTTTCTTTACTTCTTAATTGATCTAAATCCTTTCCCTTAGCTTTCTTGTTAAAGGTGGATTTAAAGAAAAGGACTTCATTATCTCGGACATTTTTGAGTCATTATGAATTTCATCCCTGTCTCCATTAATTACTCATTACCCCTCAGCTCTGGAGGGCTGCTTTGTCCCCGATGTGTTTGTGAGCAGCTTCCCTGGCACCCTGTAATCCCGCCAGCCCCGCGTTAGCTGGGTCTGGTTTACACTGCCCTCACCACCCCCTCCGCTGCCCACGGCTGCTCCCGCTCTCCTCCGCTCCCAAACCAGCTCCTGCCTTTCCCTCGTGCCCAGCACTGCCTCTGCACAGTCCTGTGGCCCCGGGTCCCTCATGGGAACACCCCATGAGCATCATCCTGTGCTTCCTGCCTGCCCCATGGGACAAGCACTTTCTGTCCCTGAGCCTGGCTCCTGGTTAATGGGCTGGCACCCAAGTCTGGGTGTAAACAGCTGGATTTTGGAAAGCCACGGCTTTGCTGGGCCTGTGTCAGTGCATGCCAAGTTATGACAAAGCAGCATGGAGAACAGAGTAATGTTGTGTAAGGGCCTTGGGATTAGCAGGCTAATATTTCCCAAGACTTTGGCTGCAGTCAGATCCTCAGGGAGAATCTGAAGCATGAGCATCTCCTGTGCTGCAGTGCTGCAGGGGCACATGGCTGCAGTGGGTGTCACTGCCCTCCCATCCTTGGCAGAGGACAGCCGTGCTCAGTGGGGCTCTCAAGTGCTGCCCCACTACTGAACCAGCCTCCTGCAGCCCATTTTACATGCACATACTGGCTGTAATCCCGTGTCATCCACAAATGGATCCATGACTGGGGATCACAATCAGCAATGGCCTTTCTCTGGACCTATACAAGCACACAACCATCTGAGAGCCCTGGTTTATGGTCTGCCCTCTCCTCCCTGAGCTCAGTGTTACATCCATTTCTGCCCTGAGCCTCTTCCCAGCAGGCTCCTTGCCAGGGCTGGAGTCAGCCCTTTCCATACTCCATGGAAGCGTATGACAATACAAAGCAGGAAAAATGTGTTGGGTTGGTGAAAGGAAGAGAGTGGTGTGCGGTATTTGCTCGGGGAGGGTAAACGAGGGTTGCACAAGTGAGAGGTTGCGTTGCACAATCAGAAGCAGTGGAATTATTTAAGTTACCACTGATCAACTGAGCTGCATTTTCTCAGGAGGTTTAAACCAAAATATCTTAAAGTGGAGAAAACTGAGATAAGACACCTACCTGGTCCAGGAGTGCAACTCTGCTGACATGTCCCGAGTCACTCCTTGGCACATCCCTTATTGGGAGGGAAGGGGTCACAAAATCATTTGAGGGGGAATGCAGAGGGAAGAAGAAGCAGCAGCTCAGACTCTTCAGGACAGAGAAATGAATTGAGAATGGGCTGTAAGTGCTCCAACAAGTCTTCACACTTGCCAGGAATCTGCTACCTACCTTTAATGGCTGGCAGTGATTCCAGTCCTCCTCCATAGGGATGAGCTCAGCAAAACCCTCTAAACCAAGGATTACAGCCATTCCTCATCCTCCATCTGTGGAGCAGCCATGTGGCTGAGGACAAGGGACTTCACCACAAAGGGGATACAAGGGACAGATACTTTCAGGTGGTTCAGTAAATAAACTCTCTTCTGTCTCATCTCAAAGAGCACATGAAAATCCACAGAATCATTTAGGTTGAAAAGGACCTCTGATGTCGCCAAGCCCAGTTGTTAACCCAGCACTGACAAGTCCACCATAAAACCACGTCATAAGTGACACATCTACATCTTTTAAATACCTCCACAGATGGTGACTCAGCCACTTCCCTGGACAGCCTGTTCAATGCCTGACAACCCTTTCCATGAAATTTTTTCCTAATATCTCATCTAAACCTATGCTGGTGAAACCTGAGGCCCTTTTCCTATAATTTGTTACTTGGGAGGAGAGAACACCTCTCTACAGCCTCTTTCAGCTGGTTGTAGAGACCTAAAAGGCATCCCCTGAGCCCTTTTCTCACAAGTAAGCACCCAGCTTACTTCCTCAGCCACTCCTTGCAGTATTTATGCTCCACACCCTTCCACAGCTCCGTTTCACATGCTCCAGCACCTCCATGTCCTTCCTGTAGGGAGGGGCCCAAACCACAGGATTTGAGGTGCAGCCTCACCAGTGCCCAGCACAGAGGGACAGTCCCTGCCCAGGTCCTGCTGCCACACCACTGCTGATCCAGGCCAGGTGCCACTGGCCTCCTTGGCCACCTGGGCTCAGCTGGCCCAGGTTCAGTCACTGTGGACCAGCACCCCTGGGTTCTTCTCTGCTGGACACCTTTCCAGCCACTCTGCCCCAGCCTGAGGCACTGCCTGGGGTTTTGTGATCCAGGGGCTGGATTTGACACTTCACCTTCTTGAACCTCATACAACTGTCCTCAGACCATCAATCCAGCCTGTCCATCAGTCCATCCATGTGCAGAGCCTTCCTGCCATCCAGCAGCAACGCTCCTGCCCAGCTTGGCATTGTTTGTGGACTGACTGAGGGTGCATTTGATCCCTTCATCCAGACCACTGATAGAGACATGAAACAGAAGTGCCCCCCAACACAGAGTTCTGAGGAACACTGCTGGTGACCAGCTGCCAGTTGGATTGGACTCCCTTCACCACCTCCCTGGGCCTGGCCATCCAGACAGTTCTAACCCAGCAGAGTGCACCTGTCCAAACCATGAGCAGCCAGTGGCTCCAGGAGGTGCTGTGGGAAATGGTGTCAAAGGCTTCACTGAAGTCCAGGTAGAAAACATCCAAAGCACTCCCCTCATCCACTCAGTGGGTCACTGTGTCACAGAAGGGGATCAGCTCAGTCAAACAGGACCTGCCTTTCACAAACCAATGTTGGCTGGGCCTGGCTCCCTGGTTGTCCTGGACATGCCTTGGGATGGCACTCAGGAGGATCTGCTTCATGCATTAAGTACCTCAGCTTGTCCCTCATCCTTTGTCACTATGTTTCCTGTGCATCCAATAAAGGATGAGAATTCCCCCTCTGGCTGTTAATTGCTTATTGTCTTTTACAGCAGGAGCCAGATTAAGTTCTAGTGGGATTCAGCCCCTCTAATTTTCTCTCTGCATAACCACACAGAAAGTGCTCTGGGAAGAAGCCAGGGTCACTGGGCAAGGATGGACCTTCCCTCCTACTGTTCTGACACACATCAGAGTCAAAAAAGACCCTGTCACCACAGGGGCAAGACCTGCAGCAGGAGGAGCCACCACAGCGCCCTGCTCCCAGCCCAGCCCCTGAATCTCAGTGCAGAAGGGTCCCTGGGCTGACATGGGGCAGGGCTTGCTGACAGTGAGGAATGTCAGTGCTGCTCTTCATGCTCTGTGACATTCTCCATATATTCTTCTGTCTAGGAACATTCAAACCAAAAGCCTCCCCTACAAAATCTGAACCTCTTGCACACTCCTGGCTTCCTTGCTCTCAGCACAAGGTATTTGAGGAGCTTTTGCCTTGGACATCAAGGTAAAAATCATACCTTAGGGAACTCATTTCCTGAGTGGAGAGCACAGCTTCACTACAGGCTTTTAAATTGTGATGAGCTACTATTCCCACAGGAAAACACACAAGTGCTTGAGTGCTCAGGCTGCCCAGACAATTCAAATTCAAGTTCTTTGTCATTTGGTACCAGGCACAGAGAGCTGTGCAGTTCCCAGCATTCCTTCACTTCCCCAAATGCTTCATCACCCAAATATCTACAGCCACTTATTTCAAAACCTCTGTAATTCTCTCAACAAGCTTCAGAATACAGGTATCTTTGAAGTCCTTCCTCCTTGAGTTACATGATTTTGCACAACCATCAGCTTTCAAACACAATTGTGTCAAATAAGACCAAAACATTTACAAGCACAGGTTGGAATAAGGAGCTCTGTTGGACAGTGAATTACTTTGATGTTTCTCCCCCAAGATGAAACCCAACTTCCGCTTATTCTAGGGCAAACTCAAAAGGTTTTATTTTAATTTTTTTTTTTTAGCAAAGTCTATCACGTAAATGTTAACAAAAAACATCTGTACAATTGCCATGATACACTCAAAAGTGAAACAAATAAGATATAAATACAGATATGGATGTAACATGACAAAAGCGGAAAAAATAGAAAAAAATACATGCGCATGAACACGGTGCCAACAAAGTCATTTCTCATGGCTGGCATTTTTCAGAGCATTTTTTACTTCCCATTTAAAACATTGTTAGCAACGTCCTGCTGTGTACTACAAAGGTCTATTTTTCTGTCCCTTAATATGTAATATTATGCTTGATAAATAAAGGGGTGGGGAGAAAAGGTTCTGATGACAAAGATGCAAGTTACATTACTTATACAGGTTATTGGTAAGCTAGTAATAAGCAATTAAAAAGACAGTCTTGTATTGTATTGTAATCCAGGCAAGCACACATAGTGTACCTTAAGAAAGCCACATGCCTCGGTATTTCTGAACTACATGAGAACTACAGTACGTAGACCTGTGGGGCAGATGGAGCCGGGATTTGCCCATGCCCACGGAGCACTGGTGCAGCCAATGGCAGAAAAAACATCCACATCTGAGATTTCGGCAACCTTGCAGCCAAGAGCTGCTGTCTGCTGAGAGTTTTCTCCCATTCAGATTTTTAAAGCATGGTGGGCAAAGAAAATACACTTTTTTTTTTTCTTTTTTTTTTTTCCCCTTTTTTTATTTTTCCTTTTTTTTTAAAGGTACGAAAAATTGAAGCCCTGCATAATGGGCAGCAAGAAAAAAAAAGGCAGCTGCAGTAGGTGGCTACTGCCAGGAGAAGGTGAGCACAAGCTTCACCAGAGCAGTGAGGCACTGCAGCATGCAGACCTTCCTCTGCAAGCGTGCGTGGACACTGTGATTTGTAGCCAGAGAGACCTTTATGCTTGCTGAAGAGAAAACAAGATGATTGTACAGCTTGTTGAAGTCAAAACTGGAGATCAGAGAGGTGACATTCAGAGCTAGCCCTTTGAGTACTTCAAAGGAAACACAAAATAAAAACTGGGTCACGTTCAACGTTCTAAAGACCCCTACTATGTACATTGTCAGTGATGATTTATAAATACCCAAGCAGAATGCTCCTGCTGTGTACAGGGAGAACACGCCCTGGAGTACTCAAAGGATGGACAGTCCTCGACCCACGCCGTGGAATCAAGTAGCACATTGATGAGCATCTGTTGACGAACAGAACTGAATCTGGGTCAGGAAGTAAGGCCTGGTTCCCCCTGCAGCCCCTGTGGTGCCTCGGGAAGCACAGCCTGGCCTGGGCACCTTCTCAAGGGCCAGCCTGGACCCGACTGCGGCGCCAGGGATGGCACAGCGCCTTCACTCTCAGTGCATACCAACAGCGTTCCATAAAGCAGGTCAAATCATTTCAGAAGGAATTCCATTCCTGGAGATTTGCTACAGTGTGCCATTCAATGGAAAGGAAAAAAATCAAAACCAACAATCAGCAAATGATGATAGACCAAGCTCCATCACAGCTGGGAGGGACTAACACCACCTGGTCAGCTATGCTGACCTTCTGAAGCCCAGAGCTGGAACAGAAGATGCTGAGCTGAGACGGCGAGAAAGAGAGGCATAAATACTAAGCAGTTAACAATTAAAAAAAAAACAAAACCCAAAACAAAAAACCAACACCCCCCCAAAAAACCTAGCCCACTACTAAAAATTCAAACAAGACAGCTTAACTGCTGCCAACAAGTCAACTGAGTATTTCCTCAAAAGGAAAAATAAATTTGTGTTAAAATCAAATTTGAAGCATTCAAAAAAATTAAAAATAGCACTCTAACAAGCATACAGAAAGATGTGGAAAAGAAATGGTCCATGGAACGGCAGACACGAACCACAGAGCAACCAATCCCCCCCTTCAGTGAGGATGGCTTTTTTGAGCCTGCAGAAAGACCCTGGGGGAATCCCCCACCCCAGGAAAGCACATGGTTTTTCCTGCCATAGCATTGCTGGTTGGGAAAGATGAGGGAATTAGCCCTGCAGCCAGCAAAACCTGCACATGTGTACCAGGAGCAGGCCACTCCCCTGCTCTCAGGTGAGCAGGGAAAGGGACCAACAAGCTCTGCAGCCCAGTGACACAGCCCCACCAGCCCCAACCCCTCCTGAGAAGAGAACTGGGAGAAAAGCTGGCAGCAAGTGTCAGCTCCCACTTAACTCCTCAGGGATGGGGTTGAAACACAGAGGGATAATTGATGGAAGGGGCTGTACCCTGCCCTGCTGCAGCAATGGAGTCTCATGTTCTCAGTATGTTCCCAAGGTGTCCCTTCAGCTCCCTAAAGAGGAGATGAAGATGGAGAGACTCCAGGGCACTGAGAGCAGCCAGGGAACACACATCCATCACCACAGCTGAGCCATAAGCTGCAAATCCATCATCCTCTTGCATCACTGGCACTGGAGGCAAAACCCCAGCTGTGATCCATGGCAGGTTTGGGGTGGGCAGGCCCATCAGCCAGGATCCAGCCCAGGGCCAAACACAGCACGTTAATTAGCAACCTCCTGCCTTCCCTGGTTACAGGCAGAGCCAGGGGGAGCTCCCCCTCTGCAAACGGAAGGGTCTGTGTTCAGGGAGGGGCAGTGCTGTGAGGTATTTGATGGCTGCTGGTTTGCCTCTGACCTGGTCTGTGTCATTAGGCTGCAAACACCTCACCTAGAGCACCCTGCTGTCAGCAGTGCCCGGTGAGGGACCCCCACTCTTCTGAAATGCAGAGCACTCAGCAAGCCTGTGCATGGACATGGCACAAAGGAGGTTTCTAAGGGCAGTTAACAGCACTGCAGGCTCTTCAGGAACAGGAGGGGCTGTGGCAGGCAACCAGCACTGTCCCAGCTGGCTCAGAGGTGCTTCCATGTGGTATTTCTGTTCAGATTCAGACACCCTTTCTGTCCTCTGGGATGAACATTTTGCCCAAAGTGCAAAGGAGCTGTGGGGACAAAGCCATCCAGCATCAGTGGGTCAGTCAGAGCAGCAGATCAGCCCTTTGATGCTACAGATTTCAAAGAAAACAGCTGGCACTGAAGCACAGCTCTGCCAGCTCCCACTGCCCACCCACTGACACACTCAGAGCCTAACCCAATCCCCCCCACCTAACTCCACTATCCTATTGCAGAGGTCGGTCCCAGAACTGGGTCTCAGGTTCCCTTTGGGGAGTAACAGGTAACCTGGGGAGTCTTTTGAACATATTAAAGAGCCAAATGGGTTGAGAGGGGAGAAGTATTTACAAAGTCAATGAAAAGAGCAAGAGCCCAGCTGTTATGCACAGCACATCTGGCTGGATAGCAGTTACAGAGAGATCAGCCCATCCGGGGCCTGTCAGAACTATGTACAAAACTCAGATGTTTAAAAAGAACCTACTTTCATTACTCACTTGGTATCTCTCAGTATTAAAGCATCTGAGGCTGGAATCACAGCTACACCTGCAAAGATCTCCCCATGGAGGGCCCTGCAAGTCAGGCAAGCTGCAACAGGGAGTACAGAACAGGAACACAAGACTTGAAAGAAGAGAAGGACCCAGCCAGAATGGGTGAGGGGAGAGAGCAGGTAACTAGCACACAGAAACCAAAACTGGGTATGAACTAAACCAACACGATTTGTTTGACTTTTACTTGTGTCCAGGTTCTTGGACTCAGTGTTAGAATGCTAACCTAAACATATTTCTGAGATTTCAGCAGGCTATACAAATATGTTTAAGTATGGCTTTCTGATGTTCACTTTAATGAAGACTGCGACACAGACCTTGCTTCCTTTACATTCAATACCAGTAAGATTCTACATAAAAGCTTTTAAGGGACTAAAATACTGATTGCAATAAATATCTGCATGGCCTCCTTAAGCTGATGGAGCACGCCAGTGAAGAGTAGCAGAAAGGTCTCTGAGAGGCACCGTTGATTGCTGCTAAGTCTACACATATGTCCACAGATCTCCATTAACTGTGCGTTGAAACATCTGAAGAGGAGCTGCTGTTGCTGTTGGTGGTCTGTGCCCTCTTTATATACAAGTTTAGTAGCTTCATCTGAAAGAAAGAAAGAAACATCAGGAGAAGATGCCAGAAAAAAACAGAGGGGGAAAAGCTGACTGCCAATGTAAAAACTCACATTCTGTGGTGAGCTCATTTTGGGGTGAGCTGACACTGGGCACTCTGGAGGAAAATCAAGAAAACTGACCATATTTCAGAGGAGAGACAAGAGGCTGTGCACAGTCCCATTGAAGTTACAGACAGACTTAATGGGATTTAGAAAAGCCTCCTGCATTTCACTTCAGCAGCCATCAGTTCATAGACCTCAATCCTGCAGCCAGGCCAGGTCAGGCAGGATTCCCACAGAGGTCAGTAGGGCTGCAGGCACACTGCTGATCCCAGAGTCAAGGGTCTCCCTCCCAGGAAACACCCTGAACTTACCCTGTTTTATAAAATGTTCTTTTTCAATGACACATCTTCACTAATGTGGTACATCCAGTGCAACTGCAGTTGTTATGACTATATACTTCCCTTGCATGGATTTGTTTTCTTTTCCTCCTTGCCACCTAAACTCCAGATCCTGCAGTGACTTATGTTTACATTTAACTTTAAACAGGCAGGCAGTCTGTATAAACCCAGAACAATTGCTTACATGTTTATAGTTAGTGATGTGGTGGACTAATGTTTGTGGCACCTAGGATACTGGAATAATAAAGCCTCTACAACATTTTATAGGGAGATATCCTAACATCCCAAATATAAAGAGGTAAACCTCAGCACGCATAGCTGTCTCTTTCAAGAGCAATTTGAAGGCACAATTATAATTTGTTTAGTGACAAGACAGAAATAAAATCTAAGTGTTTTTAGATTGTTTTGGCCTATGCCACACTTCCTTACTCATGAAAGAAATTATGACTTCAAAATGACACAATGAAGCCCTCTGAACTAAGTAGCTATTTATTGTAGTGTGCACAATAGTGCACAACTTGTTTCAGAAACAAAACCTGGTGAATTCATCTTAAAATTGCATAGAAATCATGGGTATGAAGACTTAAAACAGCAGAAAAAAAATTGTGGTGGTGTGTTGAGAGCTCTGAAAAGCAATCAAACACCAACACAAAATTCTTGTCTGAAGGACAGAGTTGAATTAAGGGCTTGGTTTCACTTGCAGCATCAGGTCAGAATTTGAGCGAACTAAGTAGCTATTTATGTACACAATTTGTTTCAGAAACAAAACCTGGTGAATTCATCTTAAAATTGCATAGAAATCTTCGGTATGAAGACTTAAAACAGCAGAAAAAAAATTGTGGTGGTGTGTTGAGAGCTCTGAAAAGCAATCAAACACCAACACAAAATTCTTGTCTGAAGGACAGAGTTGAATTAAGGGCTTGGTTTCACTTGCAGCATCAGGTCAGAATTTGAGTTTTGCAGCTTGTCTGACTCCAAGGTACAAAGTCCTTAGAAGGGTCATTTGAGCTTGCTGTTGTCCCAGAAGGAAAGGGACACATGTGCCCTGCTGTTAAGAGTGAAGCTTTACCTGCATTTCTACCAGCCCTAATCACAGCTTGCTGCTGAGAGGACCTGCTCTCCCACCATCCCCATGCACTCCCATCACTCTCTGCATGAGGATGCCTGTGTGCCACAGAGCAGACTAAAAGCTATTTAATTTGTATTGCAGATCTGGTTTTCAGCCAGAGCAGCCAGCGGAGCCAGCTCACTGCACAATCACCTCTGGATGTAATGCCAAAGGAGGAAGGCAAATGTGTCTGGAGAAGGACCTGCTCAGAGGCAGCCTGCAGTTACACAAGATCAAATGTATCATAAAACCCATCTCCAAACACCATTAAAATTTGCTAAGTGGGATTTCAAATGCTCACACTGCTGAGCAGGTGCAGTGCTGCCCCTGTGGCATTTGTCAGGGTGAGACAGGATTTACTAGAGTTCAGAGAACCTGACCCAGAGCTGCAGTGAAGCCACTGGTCTGGCTGCTAGTAATAGCCAGCAGAATGGCTTGCAGTACCAAAACACCACAGACACATTACTCTTGTACCTTGCTTCCTGTGAGTTGTGCGAGATGAGGTTTCAGTTCTTCTCCAATTACTGAATAAATAGCCACTAAGCAAAATACACTGGCTTTTCTGACACTGCTCTCCGTGTTATCATAACCCTGGAAATGAGAGGAAAAGGTCAGAAGACAAACAGCACTCCCCAACACCCTTCCTGAGCAATACACTACAGAGCTGATGTGCATTTTGCTGACCTAAGAGATAAATTAAAAACCTCTGCTTAGCATAGCAATTTGTAACCTGAATACTCAAAGAGTAAGAGAATGCCATCACCCTATCTGTTCCTTCTGTTATTACTTATTACTGTCATGTTGTAAGTTATTAATATCTAGTTATGGTTTCCTAACACAAGCTCAGGACTCTATCAGATACACACATCAGGACTCTGCCAGGAAAGCCAGAGGAGGGATGCAGCACAGCTGGGGCTGCCCCAGCTGCAGGGCCCAAGTACAGCCCAAAACAACAGTCTGCAATCCCCAAAGCACTGAGCTAGGAAAGCTGGAGACCTCGGTGAGCTCACAGAAAACAGCAAGCTATTGAGCATCAAGGTGGAGAAAAGGCTGAGCCTCCTCATCAGGACCAGGACAAGCACCACAACTCTCCCCTGCCAAGCCCTGTTCTTCCATGGAGTCCCCATCTGTCCATGGGGAGCCTGCTCCAGGCTGCTGAGCTGCACATTTGTGCCCACACTGCTGCTGACACTTCTCACCACTCTGCCAGGACCCTCAGCATGGTAAACAAGCACAAAGGTGATTCTCTCCAACACAGCCCTGCAGCCAGGATCCCAAAATACTTCCCTAATGTAAGGAGTAAATTTCTTCCATTACTGAGTTTTTAAGGTAAGGAAGTATCTCAGGCAAACTACACTCTGAAACAAGAACAATTAAAGTAAATAAAGAAGACAAACAAAATTGCCTTTTTAAAGGCATGCTGCTCTCAGACTTTTCCAGTGCATCAAATCTTCACTGTTCAGATTGTTGTCTCCAACAATGATGGCTAAAACCATTTTACAACAAAAGTTTAGATGAATACAGAATTGTCCAATTCCCAGAAACTGAGATTTAAGAATTGCAAGAGCTGACACTACAAAGTTGGGAAGAATGCCAGGATGCATAAGGGGAATTTCTGACTTTGCTCTTGTCCTTCCAACATTTTAAGCTCACAATGAGGAGCCTCTTTATCCCAGTTCTCCATGGAAGTCTTACCCACCTAAACATATCTCCCCCTTTCACTCTGATCTGTTCCTGTCACAGTCTCTCCCCAGTAAACACATTTTCTCTCCTTCCTCACTGCTACTTCACATATTTTCTTCTTGTTTGCAGCCCCATCCCAGCAGTGCCAGCTGCTTGTGCAGGGGGCCAAAAGACAACACTGCTACAGCCAGTGCTCAAAGCTAAATCTACAGTGTACAACTAAGCCCTGGCCCTGGCAGAAACACAGCTCCCCACCCAGCCCGAGAGAGTTATGAAAGAGGCTGAATAAAGTCAGCAAGTAGCTTGCTCCTAATTTCAGAGAGAAAAGAGGAAAGGAGCAACCTGCCTGCTGGGATTCAAATTCAAGTGCAAAGTACCATCAAAGCACAGAACATCTCAGCAGAATTAAAGGGGAATTAAAGGCGACTACAAGATGTACAGAGACAGTGTAAAATGTGGCTAAGTCCTATCCTCAAATTTATTTCATGGCTGCTACTAGCTTATTTGGGAGTCAGAAAAAGGCATCCAATTGTGGAATATCCATGTAAGAACCTGAGTTTTCCTTTCCTTAATATTAAAAGGATCAAAAACTCATATATAAAAATTTTACTTTAGCAAAAATTAAATGGCTTAATTTACCAAAATCTGGCCCTATAGGATCCATCATTCTCCTTCCCTTAGGGCAGAGATGTCACAAATTAATGGTGGCTTGTGCTCAGGAGCAGTGACATGGGATTCTGTACCTGTAACAACCCAGGAATGATATCAGGTAGCAGCTGATGCAACGATTCCTTGGAAATCCTCTCGATGACTTTCGTTTGCATTTTGATGGCAGCTAAATTAATTGGATAATCTGCAGTCTGAATGATGGGGCAAAGCACCTTGATGCACTGCTCAGGGTGGATGGAACTCGCCAGGGTGGAAGCAGCTTCTTCAGCAGCTCTGACGACCTGAAATGAAAGTGGAGCAAACCCTTATGTTAATGAGGTCACACTTGACAGCCAGCACCACTGGTGTGTGCTAGGAATGACTGCCAGGAAATGCTTGGGGATGTTCATTAACAGATCTGCAGGAGGCTTTGTTGAGGGGCAACTGACTCTGAGACTTCACACCCTCTGTCTCCAGTGACATCTTTGTTCCAGCCAGTGGCAGGAAGTCCTTCCTGCCTAATGTAACTGTGTCAGAGTTGTGGCTAGGTTGAAAAAATTATCTGTCACCCAAGGCAGACAGGCACTCCCATCCCAGGAGGAGCGAGAGGATGACATCTCTCCAGCCACTGCCAAAGAACCCAAACCCACCAGCTTAGACTTACATAAAAGGTTTCTCCTTAAGCATTATCACAAATGGCCCTGTGGCAGCTTCCAGTGTGCACCCCATGGTGAGTGGCACGTGCCACGCTGAGGCACCCATGGCAGCTGTGTCCTGCCCATCCCAGCTGAACTGCACTGCAGTCAAAGCCAGGGCACACACAGGAGGCTTTAGGGAGTCCCTGACCAGGCAGCTCTGCTCTCAGCACACGTAACCCATCCAGGCAGCACTGGCATCACCACACAAGATGGGAGGAAGAACAAGTGGAAAGAGCAGCAGCACCCACCCTTTGCAACAAGCCCACACTATAAAGCAGTCACACAAAGCAAGGGTGATGCTAAATTCAACTCTACCCAGAGAGAAAGCAGATTCACAACTTTCACTCTTCCCCAGCAGGTAGGACAGCTAGTTCAAAGAAGAAAGACCCAAATCTGGTCTCTCCTCCCAAGAGAATTTATTAATTTTACATTCTGCAGTAATTGGATAAAAAAGAACAGGATGGGAAGGCAGGTTTTCTTTTTTCAAGTGTCTGTGCTAATTGCCAGGCAACAAAATGAAGCTTCCTCTTGACTGCCCTCTTCCTGGCCACAAATAACACACTCTTTGCTCCTCGTGTTCTTGTTACAACACAAAAGATGGTGGATGCTTTTTCCCATCTCTCACTCCCCTCTTCTCAGGGCTTATTTTAAAGGGAGGGTAAATCCTGAGTAGACAGATGGCCCCATGGGCAGACTTAAATCCAACACCTCAACTTTAAGAAGAAAGAAAAATTCACAAATCCTTATGTTTAGGATCTTCCAGCTAGTTCCAGGCAGTCCCTAACTAAACCATGAACATGAAAGCACCCCTCTTTCCTGGTTGTCTGGGAGGCTCAGGTGCCCAGCACCAGTTCTCTACCTGCTCCTAAATTGAACTACCTGGGGTTGTCTAAAGTCAATACTTTGAAACCAGCACCAGGAAATCTGTCCCAGGCAATCTGCAAAACAGCAAATAAATCAAACCACAGGTCTCCTGTCATTTAGGCTGAAGCCATGGCTACTGAATTCGTGTTCTTCTCCTCTCCCACACACGGTGATGGCATCAAACTCAGGGACTCCTATTTGAGGAAGGCAACCCATGGACAGATGTAGCTCTACCAAAGCCTTAAAAGAAGGTGAGCTTTCATTATTTTTAAGCAACCACTGTGGATAATGCATGAACAAGGAGTAGTTAGAAGCTTATCTTAGTCCATGGACTACAAAACAGTAGGTTTGATTGACTTTTAAGATAACAGCAATTAATAGTGACCAGAAGGGATCATCTCCACCCACAGTCACAGCATCATAGCCATGCTGCTAACATTTATCTTCCACTCATGCTGAGAGCTACCTCCCTGAAACAGGACTGGCACAAGACACTTGTATTCCCAGGAAACAGCAGAACTCGTCCACTTGGATTTTGGCATTCTCTAAGGCAGATCCAACAGCGAATGTGATCTCAGACACTTCACACAGCACAAATATTGCATGCAGCCAAGATATGGGCAGGATGGTGAAGCAACCTGAGATTTTGGACTGCTTCTGTACCAGGGCCCTATTTACAGACATAAAGCTGTCCAAGTGCTCCATTTCCTTCAAGCTTTTCTCAGCATTTAATTATAACATTAAAACATATTTCAAAATGAATGGCAATCCACAATGTGGTCAATATTAAAAAAAAAAATCCTGAAAGATCTGTGAATGAGTAGCTATGCAGAACACAATGCTTGCTCTCCCACTCACAGGAAGTTTTCCCTCTTCCAGCTATGTCTTTGCTAATTTCTCTTCAATTTCACACATGAGAAGCATGAAAGTTTGTATGTTTCCACATAAGTTAGTACTAGCTTAGGAGCCAGCACTGTGTGATTTTGTGGGGAAAGAAGAGAAACACGCAAGTACTTTAGGGAAACCTAATGCCAGGCTTTGAAAGCACAGAGTGGAATTGCTGGAGTAGATTAAGCCAGGAGCTCCCAGGTCACTAAAGGAATCCACTTCCAAGCACTGCAGCTTCTGATGTCTGCTTTCCACAAATGATGGAAAGGATGAACTTAGAGGGCCCTGACACTTTACCATCAATTTAACTATTCACTAGCAAGCCACTAGCTAAAAAACCCCAAATATTACTATTTGAATGCAGGCCACTTGGGATTTTGCTCTGCAGCAACACCAAACACCATTGGGAGGATGTTTTCATACACTCAGAAAGAAAAGCTTGCACACATATCATAACACACTAAAAGAAAACTGTAAAAAAATTAAACCTTATATTCTTTTGGTATCTTATTTGATAAAAAAGCAACAATATTTTAGTATAAACCTTAAATATTAATATATTTTAGTATAAACCACAGATCAGCTAGCCTCTGATCTCAAACACACAACCATTAAAAAAAAGCAGTAGGTGAAAAATTTAATGAATATTCAATCTGGGTTTCAGCTCCATATCCTCGTTGCACACAGTATAGTATGTCTATTAAGTTGAAGGTATGATGCAAGTCCATGAGACAAAAAGCCTATTAACCAATTTCAAGCACAAGGAGCATTAAAATACAGTGACAATTTTTCACAAAATAAGCGAGAATTCAACAGCAACAAAGGTCATACCTCTTTTGCCCATCAAAAGGTGAGTAAGGAAAGTTGTGAAGGTACAGCAATTATTTATGCCCCTGACAGTTCTGATTTCAGCACTGCTGCCCAGTTCTAGCACAGATGTGGCTACCTTTAGGCCACATCTGTGAGCTGTGAGCCATGGCTGGCTATTTCACATGCCTTCCCCCCAAACACAGGAGGATGCATTACACATGTCCAGCATGACAGGAGCTTGTAAATGTGACAACACCAGGGAGACTTCCAAACCTCCTACAAGCACATCTGGCAGAAAGAGCCTGCATCTCAGCCACACTTCACAAACCCCCTGAGCTGTGATTAACTTTAATAACATGCTCAGGTCTCACTGACATCAACAGGATTCCAGCATGTGCTTACTTGCTTGTCTGGATGAGAGCCTCTGCAGGTAAGCAGCTCCTGGCTCCCTGGGGAAGCACCAGCAGGTGACAGGGCGTAGGAAGGGGTAGGGCAATACTAGCTGACAGTCAGCCAAAGAGCAAAACTCATCCCTGCTGGCACAGGAAGCCAAATGCCACCATTTTGCAATGCAAGAACCAGCCCTGTCCTTGCTCCCGGCTTTGGCAAAACAAAACACTCAGCCACCCAGAGAGACTCTGCATCCCATGAAGGGCTCTCAGTATCCACCCAACTGGCTCAGAGCTCCACTCACCTGGCACTGCCAGAGAAATCAGCAGCATTTCCAAAGAGAGGGGAGAGCATTATCAAAACGTACAGACTGCCAGGTCATTTGGCAACAAGAACATGCAATTGTAATAGAGTTTAGAGAAGACATTTTGCCATGAGGCACAACGCTCGTGCCTTGCAAATTGTACATACCTTACAGTATCAAAAAATCAACTATCATTTTTAATCAGGGCTTTAACCTGACCAGCAAAGTGAAACAACCTTAAAAGGAGTGGGAGAAATGAATAAACAGGATCAAGGAACAGGTCTTCCTCCCAGCTTTGAAGGCAAGATCAACAGATGCACATGGGGAAGTGACAGGAAAGGCTCGTACTAACAGTGACACCACAATATGAGGTGTCTATGTAATCTACCCTTTAAGCCCAAGAAAATGAAAGGGCTGTTTGCTACGTGCTCAGACTGGGGAGCTTGCTGTCACAAGAGGATTAGAAGTTAGACAAGTTAACCAAAGGAAAAAAAAAGCCAACCCACACAGGGAGGCAAGGCAGAACCATTCACACGGAAAGGCTTTAAGACAGCTGGAAGGGGGAAGAATATCCACAGGGAAGCATCACTGTATGCTTGCTTCTTGCTAGTGAGTCAGGTAGGGTATCAAGTGAAGCAAGATTTTTGTCTGACCTAATACAATTATTCTTTGGAATCTCAGAGGTACAAAATAAAAGTAGAAAAGCCATCAAATGATGACAGCAGCTGGAAGCAGCAGGTTCAAAAAGGTGGCTATGAAGCAAGATGTGCAAGACTACAGAGCCTGCAGTTCTTTAAAAGCACAGACACTAAGCTGTATGTAAGGTATGTCACAAACATGATTTTACCTCCCAGTAAAAGCTTAGAGCAAACCATGGCTTGAACTGGATAGTTTGACATCGGTTCAACACAGGGCAGGTAGCCCTGGAATGCAGATCTAAGAGATAGCTCTTGGCCTTAAAGCAGCAGGTTTTTCTCCTTTCTAAAGGCTTACCTTATGCTCTTCACACTGAAGACTAGATTCAGCCTGACTTTTGCTGGCATAACATGAGCTCTGTGTGCTGGAGGGTTCCTTGAAAGACATCTGTGATGCACTAAGACTTTCTAGTGAGTCTCAAGAAAAAGAAGGTTTGTACTTCCACCCAGTTTGCTTTAGGGGAAGAGCCATATTCACATGCACAAAGCCAGCGAGGTGTAGCACACAAAAAGCTGTTCACCTCTAGCAATGCCTTCCTTAATGCTACCAAGGAGTAAACTTCTTGTTAGGCAGTAACAGGTCAGGCAGTCCCAGGGATATGCATGGGAATTGCTTCCTGATTTCAGTGTGAGGGGATCTGCTGATGTGCAGC